TATATCTGGCGGCCACGTGTCCGACAGCCCGTTGTATGCTGTTGTGCTTGTATCCTGATGGTCATGTGAACTGCTGTGACAGTCTCCTGCTGCCCTGTACACCGAGTGAGCAGCGTCCCGCTATCCTGTATCCTGCTATGTCTGCAAGCTTCTGTATCTGTGTGCTGCTGGTCCTGTATCTGTGTGCTGCTGGTCCTGTATCTGTGTGCTGCTGGTACTGTATCTATGTGCTGATCGTCCTGTATCTGTGTGCTGCTGGTCCTGTATCTGTGTGCTGCTGGTCCTGTATCTGTGTGCTGCTGGTCCTGTATGCTGTTGTGCTTGTATCCTGATGGCCATGTGAACTGCTGTGACAGTCTCCTGCTGCCCTGTACACCGAGTGAGCAGCGTCCCGCTATCCTGTATCCTGCTATGCCTGCAAGCTTTTGTATCTGTGTGCTGCTGGTCCTGTATCTGCGTGCTGCTGGTCCTGTATCTGTGTGCTGCTGGTCCTGTATCTGTGTGCTGCTGGTCATGTAATATGTGTGCTGCTGGTCCTGTATGCAGCTGGGTCCGTATCCCGCTGTCCTGTAGCCCGTTTGAGCGGTGTTCCGCTGTCCTCCATCCTGCTGTGTCTGCATACTGCTGTATATGTGTGCTGGCCGTCCTGTATCGCCGATGTTGGTATCGATAGATACACTGCCTAGTGGCGTAGCTATTGTTAGTGTCGCCATTAGGGGCTGAACATTCCCCCCCTCCCTTTCACGATAGAAACTTTGCAGTTTTCCAAAAATGCCACACCTGCATATAAAGAAAAAGTGACACCTCTGTGCAGAACCTCATCCACCCTATTACGATGCCACTAGCAGGGGCGTCTAGAGCGTTTGGCGTCAAGGGAAAAAAATCATTTTACGCCCCACCCCAACTCTAAAACCCATTATTTTCAACCATTAAATATCCTTAAAACCAATTTAGCCCTTCCCCCGCTAGCCGCCTGTCTGGAAGCCCGGGACATATATCCCATCGGCCACCCTAAAGCGACGCCTCTGGCCACTGGCAACTGGCACTGTCTCCCCCCGCCCGGGGAGTGGGGGAATGTCTGAAAGAAACTATGGCTATGAACGAGTGGGTACAAATTGGTTACCTAACTGTAGTACATGAGGTAGCTGTGAACCAGTGGGTACAGCTTGGTTACCTAAATGTAGTACGAAACCAATTGGTCTGAGAACAAGTTGTACAAGCGAAGTTTAGTTAGAACGGAACTTTGTTTTAAATGAAATACGTTTAATTTAAGTTTGTTCCTAATGATGTATATTCAATGTAAGTTGTTTTCGAATGAAATATGTTCAATGAAAGGTTGTTCCAAATGAATGAATTATTTTGAATTTGATTTTGTTCCAAATAAATTATTTTGAATTTGAGTTAGTTCCAAATGAAATATGTCAATTTAGGTTTTTCTAATGAAGTATCTATGTCCAATGTAAGTTTGTTCCAAACGAATTATTTTGAATTTGAGTTAGTTACAAAATAATATGCCAATGTTAGTTTCTTTTTATGAAGCATGCTCAATGTGTGGTATATATCGGAAATGAATTATTTTTAACACACGATGCCTGTGAGAAATTTTTGAAAATGTAACTTAAAAATTGAACGTATTTTTTTCTTTTGTGTCAGTATTGACGTTGTAACAAATCCTTGATTGAACTAACTGCCGTTCAAATCACATTCCTTCGTAGAAATTTGTTTGGAACAAATTTTGTCTTCTAGTTTCCGGATGCTAAACAGGCGTGCGTGAAAGTCTTGCGGAATATGTATTCACTGCAAAAGAGCATTGCTACAGCGGAAGGCGTTCGTGAGTTAAGTGTTGCTGTCGCTACCAATGAAATCAAACATGATGATGAAGCCAGGTACAAGCATAGGATGACGTGGGGGGAAAAAAGCTTTGTTTTATTGCAAGTGACTCCTTCAAAAAGTGCTAAGAATTTTTTTTTTAATATTACCGCTGTGTTTGATGAATAATCCTATTGGGCGGCGTGCTGAAGGCAGCTTTGACACACAACTGGCACTAACGTTAGAAGGATGGGGGCCCAGGGGGAGGGGGTTGGTCATCAACACGTGGCACTTTGTTCTATATACTGAGGGCGGCATTTTCGGCCAACTGAGGGGTGTTTTGGTGGGTAGGGGGCGGCAAATATCTTAGCCCGCACTGGGTGCCACTTACTCTAGCTAGATACGCCAATGTGCAATATAGATCATTACGTGCTCCTCCTCTAACCAAAAAGTATGGTTCGGTTTTTCGTGTACCACCCTGCGTACTTTTAAAAAAAAGTAATTTCCTAACACTTAGCGCAGGCTGTATATTTGACGACAGATGGGCCTAAAAAATCCTCACTCTTCTCCTACTTGACCACATCAAACTCTAACGTATTGACCTTGCAAATTAACCCCTAACAGGACTATCGACTACAAAGCTCCCTTTTGGCTTGAATAGACAAGACAGATATTTATGGAAAACTATTGCTTTTGTTTACAAAATTTTTTCAATACAAGTATAAAAATGACGTTAGTTTTGTACGCTCGATCCTCAAAAGCTATTTATACTCAGACATGTTTCCCCGGAGGGCATTACACATTTTCGGGCGGGGGGGGGCGGGGAGTGCCAATTGCCAGTGGCCGGGACGTAGCTAAGGAGTGGCAGATGGGACATACGTCACAGGGCGCCAGACTAGCGGGAGGTGGGACTAATTGGGATTGGATGGTATTTAATTGATTCCAGCGTAAAAATGAATCTTATCCCCTGACGCAAAACACTCTAGATACTCCCCTGCTAGTGGCGTCGAAATAGGGCGGTCGGGGTGTTCCATCCAGATGTCACCTTTTCTTACTGGGGGGCCATCCATATAGTACGTTAAACATTGGGTGCAAGGGGCGTCGATTTTGCAGATTTCGTGTACGCGTGCCGGATATCTACAGAAATTGCGTACATTCATTCACAAGTTCCGCAACAATTTTCCTAACATCACGACAGTCTATAAAAAGCATATCCCCCATGCTTTTAAAATAGCAAGCTATGTTTTATAGGAATTATCGTCATAATGTTTCTTTTAGGTTTCGACTGTACTCAACACTTATCGCTCTAATGGCAGGCCTACTGGTACTAGTAGTTATATTAAGTCCACCGCATCTATCACGTGCCAGTGGAGTATTTTGTACGGTTACCGGAAATTTTATCTAAACGTTAAAATTTTCGTAAAATTTCTTTTTAAAAGCCTATACAATACAGTAAAACAGAATAATGCGTTCAAAAAGAAATTTGAAGCGCCTTTTCCAAATTAAGGCTCGCATCAGGCGCCCTGTGTTACAATCTTACAATGACACTTCGAGTTAGCAAGTACATTAAATAAAAATTATTGTAAAATTAAGCCTAAAAAATTAATCCAACCGCCTATCAAACTCTGACTAATATGACGGGCTTGCCGTTCCAAACCAAATTTAAGTGATCTCCCCAGTTCTTTTGTAACTTCACATGCAAGATAAATAATGTATAGAAAAGAGCGGATTTCCTCTGAGCCGATTACACAAAACTTCGGTTATCCAAATTCTAGCATTTTGAATTTATATTTTAAAAAAATTCTAGGTCGTATGAAGATTTAAGGGGTTAGACTATGCCTGGGTAAAAAATATAACCCCAAGGGCGCCACAAACGGAATGAATTTAGTTCCTGTTAGGTAAGGGCGGAGCTCGAGATTCCTTGGTCATCTTGATGGCTATTATTGGTTCCTCCCATCTAAACTTCTGAAATGCAGCCCCCCAAACCTCGAACAATTGGCCGAAAGAAACAAATGAATTTTAATTAGGGCCTATATAAAATATTTTAGGGCAATGAGCTTAATAAGCACCCTTGCCCACACTTTTGCTCGTTAATCTTCAAAGCTCTCAATTTCAGCCGCCACCTTCCCTCAGGCCGATAAATATGACAGTACGGGATTCAATCTAATCTTGTGCCAAAAGATTACCCTGGGGCTTGCCACAACCAGAGTAAATTCAGCTAATGTCTGACACTGGCTGCTATAATGTCTCATTTACATGATAGATGCCGTTCACCCGGACACTTGAAACATCCATTCACTCGATCAAATTGTCTAACGGAAACCCTGAATTCAGGTACATGCCAACATGCATTGCCGAACCAACTATGCTCGTTTATAAAACTGGCTAAAGCACACTCAAATTGGTATTGTCCCATTTGGCTTCATCTCCATCCCCCAATATATAGGTGCGCCCCGCACTCCCCGCAACCCCTAGGGACGCTAATACTTTGCAGATTTTTAAAGTGATCAAAATGCTTAACAATCACTGCAAAGCCTTAGGTAATTACTAAAACATGGAAAACGCAAATATTAAACAAATAATTTAAAAAAATAGCTCAACTGCCGCATCTTAAAAGAAGAGTGAATCTTAGTTGGGCCGTCCATAAATTACGTCGGGGAGAGGGCATAAAGGTATTGCGTCACACATTTTTATCATACATATAAAACCAGAATTAATGTATGTATTCTGACTGAAGGTGTCACTTCTATGAATGTAATAGTGAAATGTGTTTTAGATTAAATTGTAATTATATTTTATTTATTTTTTATAAATAAGTTACGTACTTAAAAGGGGGTGGGGGTGTCTGATATTTGTGACAGATTGTGACAGGGGAGGGAGGTGGTAAAAGTTTTTTGAAAATAGTTTCCAATTGACGCACTTTAACTTTATTAACGGCCCTGAAAAGTGTATATAAATTCACAAATTAAAAGTAAAAAGCATATGCGTATATGGAGCAGTTTCAATTCGTTCTTTTTTAATTTCAGAAAACAAGATACCATTCAAATTAGGTCCCCAATGTTCCTTTTTTCCCCCACGAAATGATAACATAGGCTTACTATTCGCTAACTTGACGAAGCCGTGGCGGGCAAATAGGAGTGATTGTCTTTCCAAACGTAACTATAGCAATATCGATTCCACCCGACCCTGACATTGGCAACAAACATGGCGTCAAGCCCAAAAGAAAAATTTGATGCAGCAGTAAAAGTTATTAGGGGTTTACCTAAAAACGGTAAGAAACCATCAATTTAGAATGAAACTAATTCATAGGGTAGTAATTGTCATAGCTGAAAGACATATATTAATGATATATTATAGGCTATTATAAAATATATATAGCGTAGTCTTAAAAATTGTTAATTATTTTAGTTGAGTTGAGGCTGAGGCGTTCCATTTCTCATATAGTAAGCTATTCATTATTCATAGTATAGAATCAGAATTAGATTATCCAAAAGTCATAGATAGATAGGCATACTGAATAAGTAAACTAATTAATAATTAATTACTATCACTTAATTTTTGGGTTATATAATTACATCAGAAATGAATATGAATGTAGATACTTCTATGAAACAAGGGAGACTACTACTTTTTGTGTATCAGAAATAGAAATCGGCGCCGAAAAATCCGAGTTTTTAATTTTCCGATGTGTGTGTCTATTTATTATTAAATTAGTAATTTCGATATATATTTGAGTTCCGTTTTCGGCCTTATAATTAGGTGACATCTTGGCCTACATTTTAATCAATTTCTTTTTCATTTACAATCAGTCAGCTTTGAGAAAATCCTTGGTAAATATAAGGCAACTTTCATCATTAAAATTAAGTCGAAGGAAAAGATTTGTCACTACCAAATTTTTTTTGCATCTGGGGAATGTATTTATCTACATGTATGCCAATTTTCACAGCGATAAGTGTCTTACGAGAAATGAAGCGTGTTTTTGAAATGAACTTTATTATTATTATTATGTTTCTATGCGTTCGCAGCAGGTCATGCAGTTCGCTCAACCTAATTTCGCCATGGGGTGGGCCACGGCCCCTTTTTAATGGCGGAAGTTGCCGATACTTAGGAAATATTAATTTATTACCACTATTTACATCAAAATATTGATAACTTGTGTTTCAGAATGCATTTTGAAGACATTTAAACTGGAATGTTTTAATTTGAGCTTTAACAACCCGGTAGAATCCATATTATAAATGATCAGAATTTACCGTGTGCAACACGTTGTCATTGGCAACCATTCACAGCCACTTGCATAACTGTATCGTAGTACTACCTCAGAGTTTCATTCATAAGAGTTTGCCGTGTGCAAAAACTATTAAACCATTGGTCAGGGAAAGCTTTAATTAATTATTCATGTGCCAAAGTTGAAAGTTTAAACTAAGTCGACCCTAAACAGTATTTTAGTGATAAGGCGATGCGTTGCCTTATATAAAGTATATAGTCATTGCGCATGACACGATCAGCAGAATGAGGTCACAAGATGTGGAGGTTTCGTCCAAAGTAAAAAATACCTAACAAACTCACACTTTAAAAATTCATAGCTGAAAAAGTACTTAAGCTAAAAAGTTGACTCTGGTTTCATTTTTTTATTTGAAATTTACTCTAACTAACTGTGTTATTAAAAAAATTATTTCAATGTTTTTAAATTTTGTATTCAAGTGCCTAATGAATGACTTATGTCATTGATTCACAATTGATAATTGTTTAGTCTTAGTTTCTAGTTTCTGTTGTAAGTCAACTCCTCCTTGTATTTTACCAAGCCCAAGGCAACTGAATTTTAGCAAATTCAATACAGTTTTTTAGTTTTTTGTGCCTTGGCATAAGTTACATAATAGGTTCTTTGATGAAACAAGGGAGACTACTACTTTTTGTGTATCGGAACCAAAAAATCAGAGTTTTTAATTTTCCGATGTGTGTGTCTATTTATTATTAAATGAGTACTTTCGACATATATTTGAGTTTCGTTTCCTGCCTTATAATTTGGAAGACATCTTGGCTTACATTTCCATCCAGCTATTTTGCTTTTTTCAATCTACCTTGATTTTGAAAATCTTTGGTATATATAAGGCATCTTCGCATACAAAATTTTTTGTGAAATAAAAGGAACATGTCTTTCATATTAAATCGTGTAAAGCATTAGATATTGAAGAATACGTGTGCCAATTCTCATTGATGTAGGTCGTATCCAACGTATTTTACGCTTGTCCAAGTGACCCATATCACCATAAAATCGCTCAGCCTAATTTCGACATGGCGTGGGCCACACCCTCTTTTTAATGGGGGAAGTTGCAGATACTTAGGAAATATTTAATTATTACCACTATACACATCAAAATATTTGATAACTTGTGTTTCAGAATGCATTTTGAAGACATTTAAACTGGAATGTTTTAATTTGCGCTTTAAAACCCTGTAGAGTCCATATCATAAATGATTGGAATTTTCCGTGTGCAACACTTTGTCATTGGCAACCATTCACAGCCACTTGCATAACGGCTATATCATATTACTATCTCAGAGTTTCATTCATTAGAGTTTGCTGTGTGCAAAAACTATTAAACCATTGGTCAGGAAAAGCTTTAATTAATTATTCATGTGCCAAAGTTGAAAGTTCAAAATAAGTAGTCCACAAACAGTATTTTAGTAACAAGGCGATGCGTTGCCTTATATAGTCTATACCAGTATAAAGGGTGCCGTAGAATTGGTAAACAGAAAAGCCATAATATATAAATAAATTATATTAAATTAACTGATATATATTGTTAATAGTTAGATAAGCTACAATCTACTTTTTAATACAGCATTAATTCTGAAAATAAAAGTCCTATAAAATTACGAAACGAGAAAATTCATAAGACGTTTCAGTTATGTTGCTTTAAACCTTGTTCTTTATATCATGTCATTTGTCTTTTATTGCAGGTTCTTTCCAACCATCTCATGAATTAATGCTTAAATTTTATAGCTACTATAAACAAGCTACAGAAGGCCCTTGTACTGTATCCAAACCAGGATTTTGGGATTTGGTAAATCGCAGGAAATGGTTTGTAACTGTCATAGTTTTGTTTTCATTTCTTACTTCATTGTATTATTATGTATAAATCAATAAATGCTATATTGTAAAGGTTTTCAGTTCAGATAATACTTTTCAAATCAGTAGTACATTGAAGAACTAAATTCAGTCTGAATAATGCTTTTCAAAATCAAAACTGCATTTAAGAGCTAAATTAATTTTAAAATTTATATTTTAAATTTAAATATACAAGTGTATTTTCTGTACAAGACAATACGTTATAAATATAATATTTCCTTAAATGTAAGAATGAGGCTTAAAAGCTGCACATTAGGATCATCTCAATAGTGGTTTTCAAATTTTTCATCTTGCAACAAAACTAAAGAAATTTCTGAGCCTCTTCATAACACAATATAAGTATTTAAAAAATATTGGCTATGTCATTGAGGTGTTGCTTACAAGACAATTTTATAATATTAAATTAGATATAAATATAATATAATAGGGCTTAACCAGTTGCAATTGTTTTACACCAGGTCCAGGTATTTTGAGAAAATACTTGGTGGTTCCAAGTGTTACAAAAAAAAAAGAGGAAATGTTTCATTTTCTATAATGTATGCCACCCTACCGACAGTCTTTATACAATATTCTTACACCCTACATGCCAGCCTTTAAACAATAGTCCTACAGACAGTCCTATACCATATGCCTGGCTCTTTATTGATTGATATAATTGTCGCCTCCGGTTACCGGAAATTTGTTTGAAAGAAATTTTCTTCGACTATACTATATAGTAAAACAATATAAAGTGTTTAAAAAAAAATTGATGCAAAATTCGATAGTGTGAACTGAAAATAAAATTTGATCACATTTCCGTTTGACCAAACTTCTGTCCATCAATTTTCCGTTGATGATAATTCTTTCAAACAAATTTCCGGACACGGTCACCTCCCACTAAAGAAAAGAAATCAATCTATTAGCATGAATTCAACCATCATGCTTGACGCCCTTGGCCCTTGACTAATAAAAATCATGGAGTTGGGGAGAGGCCCATTTGAAGAAGAAGCAGGACGTACCAGAAGCAAAATAAATATAAGAGATTATAATATTTGTGTTATCTTGCTTGAAGATGTCCATATACTCTTGATATGTAAAATACTTTTAAACCTTTTTTGTTTTCTTCCATTTTTATCCCTAAAATTTATTAAAAAATCTTGTAACTCCCCAGTGAACCAATCATGAAATATTTGAAAACCTAGGCTCTAAATAATTGAATTAGCTTCTTCTAATCCTTGAATGCTCAAAACATTTTAATATTCTATAAATTAATATTAATTTTTTAATCCTCAGATGGCAATTAACATATCTATTTGTAAAAATAGAATGCAACTGCTCTCTTCCCAACTTCTTTAAAATTAGGTTGAGTTCTTTGGTTTGGGATTATTTCTTAAAGTTAACTCAAAATCATGAATTTTTTCCCACTTTTTGTGTTTCGCTTAACTTGTTTTGGTTATATTTCAGTGTTAATACAGTAATTTTTAAATCTTAGTTTTCACACTCATTTGAATTATGCCATTACTTGTCTCTTTAAATTTTTGAACTGTTTTTTTTTTTAAAGGGAAGCCTGGTCAAGTTTAGGTAATATGGAAAGTGAGAAAGCAATGCTGCTCTATGTGGATGAGTTGAAAAAAGTGAGCATTCATGTTCGGCAAGCATACTATCCGCAGCAGGTATTGCTAATGTCAAGCCTCCATTCATTGCAAATATAATATTTTCAACAGATGTTTTATTATATGTTCCTTTTTTATTTATTCAAAGCTGAAAATGTAAACCCTGATCAATGATGATGATTGAGTAAACAAACTATATGTACCGGGGTATACCTTTTTTATTCAAAGTTTAATTTTAAACCCTGATTCATGATAATGATTGAGTAAACAAAATATTTGTATAACAACAAAAATATTTTACATGGTGCTTGCCTATGAGCTTTTTTCTTGTACAGTATTTCATTGGGGGAGCTTATTAATTGTTGCATAATTCTAGATCTGATAGTATTTTATAGGGGTCGCTTTTTAATATAGAATTGATATAAGATAACAGATCAGTGTAAATAAAATTGAAATAAGATATAAGATAACAGAACAGTGTAAATAAAATTGATATAATATAAGATAACAGAACAGTGTAAACTATAAATGGTAGCCACCTAGAAAAGCCCATATGAGCAAGAAATGCGAGAAGCGTTCTGAAGACCAGCAAGCCAATCTTAAATATCTGTATTATTGGGCTGTTGAGTCTGCCGTTCGTCCTTTTTGCCATTCCACTCTTGGGCAGATAGATCTATCGTCCCTGTCATCTCAACTGGGTTAACTAAAATAATCAAAATATAATCTACAGAATAATAAATCATTAAATAGTTTGTCAAAGTGTGCTGTATTTGCCCAAAAATATATCTATGTTGGTACCGACATTAATATCTGCTGAAGCGTGACTGAGCAGGACGCTCTTGCACGGCCGCTCACGAAGAACAGCGTCCAAGACCCCGGTCTGACATATTCGTAACTCAAAACCAGGATCAGGGACCCCCCCGCTGAGAAGCAGCGGACGCGGATTGGCCTGGCTCGTGAGCCCCCCACGTGTCCGGGGGCCACATGTACAAATTGGCCCGGTTTAATGATTGTGATAGTCTCATTTTGCCAATAAAATATTTAAAATTCCTAATTCTTTTCAACCTTATGTATTTTAAAAAATCATTATTTAAAATTATATAGAGTTTATTAAACCATGTGTCAAGGATTGATAGAACTATACAAACAAAATTTGTTTAAACCAAAATAGAGAGAGACAGTCATCATTTTGCCAGGTTTTAGATACTGTGAGAATAAGTGCATGTTTGAAAATAGAAGTTAAAAATAACTTTGCAATCAAATAAATATCTGTACCATTGACCCAAAAAAAATGCATTTTGGTAACAAAGAAAGCTCATTGACTTTTTCATTGACCATAAATTTCTTGTAAGATACTTGTTTTTTTATTTTAAAGCAAGTAACACATCTACATTTTCTTTTGTATTGTACAGTAACTATTTTCTGACTTGGCACTCTGAGTTGAACAATTTTAATAGGAAGTCTGAAAAAACTTCATTCAAATTTGAAATGGTTATAATACATGCATGAATTAAAACTATTAAACAGTTGTCTACAGAAGAAATTATTTATTTTTATATTATTATTATTTGCAAGAAAAATAATGGGAAATATGGTTTAGTTTGCAAATACTCTAAGGTTTGCAAATAATGATCATTACTAGTACTTTCTGCTTGATAGGGCTTTGATTCAAAGTTAACAAACATTTTCTTGTCAAAAGCATGATTCAATCATATTGCAATGTTTTTTTTTAGAAAAAATTTCAATCATTTTGATAAATTATTAAATACAAAATTTTAATTACCGGGTATTGGAATCCATTTATACAGGAGAGTCCATGTATCTTCTGTCAATAAATAAAACTTACTATGAAATGATTTGAAACTTAGATTATTCAATCCTTGGTCTTACAAGTTAAGGGGTAAATCTTGTGAAGGTTCAAAGACAAATTATTACAACCACAAAGCAGATGCAAATATTTCAATATTATCTCCATGTGTAAATATTTATCTTATTTTTAAGATTATCTATTATTAAAAAAATGGGACAAAGTATATTTCATTTCTAAATGTGTTTGCAATAGAAATTCAATTAAATGAATTGCTAATTTATCAGTACACCGTCATCCATTCAACGTCCACACAAATGTAATTCTGCTTTCTGGCATGACCACACTCTTGTTTTGAATCCTCCCTAAATGAGTCCATCCTTTTCTTTCCCTTCCAAAATCCCATAAAAAGCTTTCTGTTTTTATTAGATTGACCTATAAATAACATCTCAGTTTTGAAAGTATCCTCTTCCAGAGGGTCTGATATTGTACACATGTTCATTTTTGTCCACCATATTCAACTACTATTACTTTATTGGAATCATGTTTTTAGCATATTAAGAAAGGATTTTTCTTATACAAACAAAATAACACATATTTCTACTTAACTGGTATAATCCAATTGCAAATGATCTATATTTTATTTCACCTATTTTGCCACAATGCTTATAATTTCTTTATGTGAGAAGTAAAGTAGGTATTATTGTGTTAAAATATTTATGCTTGGTACATTTTTTGAGGATTAGAAACAAATTAACAGGTTTCGCTGTTGTAGGTCTTTGTTATGTATTTTCTCTTTTAAATTTTAATCATAGAAACCATAAGTTTAGTTACATGGAGGCTTGACACTGGTTGATTCTGCATGCAGATGGAGCAGGTAGATTAAATGCTGAAAGCATGACATGAGGCTGCAGCTTTATTCAAACTTTTGAATATCTTTGTCTCATTTCATACTTGAAAAAAAAAATGTTTGTTGACATTGCAGTGAATTCCAAATATTTTCATTGATTAATGTTGCTTTTTAATGTTGATTTTCTAGATCTGAAATAGAGACCATTCTAATTATAATATAGTTAATAGTGAGCAACGTGTATGTCTTTTTAACCCAATTACCAGCTGGTGGTGAAGGGCGTTTTTTTTTTTTAAATTCTTCTTTTGTAGTCATATTTATTTTGTATCATTAACTTTCTTATTTGTTGTTATGGCGCAGATATATTTGCAAAACACTGGCTAACCTTTCAACTATAAAACGGAGTAACAATGTCTTTAAATCTATTCTTCGAACGCTTCCATTAAATTCAGTAATCAAAATATTTTATGGATAAAGGGGAAGCTTTGTGTCTTTTGGGGGAAGGATGTTAAACATTTTTTATCGAGTTAGGATTGGGGGGGGGGGATGAAGTGGTCAAAAATTGTGAAATATCATTTTTAAATGACACCTAAAGATATAAAATTGTATGGACTAACAACACAAAAAAAACATATAAATAACTGCTTTGATTTGATTAATGAACATCCTCAGCTAACGAGTTAGGATTGGGGGGGGGGGATGAAGTGGTCAAAAATTGTGAAATATCATTTTTAAATGACACCTAAAGATATAAAATTGTATGGACTAACAACACAAAAAAAACATATAAATCACTGCTTTGATTTGATTAATGAACATCCTCAGCTACTTAATATTGTTTCATTGCGATCTTAAACACAAATTATTTTGTAGCGTTTTGTTGTTTTTTTTTGAAAATTAAATGTTGTGATTTTAATCTTTTAAAGTACGGTACCAGTACTGATCCTCTTGCAAATCCTAATTGCTTACCTTGGACTGTATACTCATAAATTCATTCATATTTTCACATATTTCTGAAAACTGAATTGACTTGGTTGACTATCATTAGTGGGTCTTCATTTGTAAAGTTAATTAACATGACTTATACAAACTGCTTACATGTTTTCATTTTTCTTAAGATTAATTTGACTTTTATTTTTATATAAAGTAGGGAATGATAAGAGGGAGGATAAAATAAATCAAGTTCAAAAACTAGTTATTTGAAACTTATGTAACTCACAAAAAATTATATCAACACCTTCATATTCTAATAACACATTATCTCCTAGGATCAGATATCCAAATTCCTCATTGACCTACTACTTTGTCAGAAAAAATGCCATAGAAATCAAGCTAAACTTTTAATTAATACAAATCTTTTCCTTACGGTCTTTCTTGAGGAGAGTATGTTTTTTTATTTGATTAAGTTCCTATTTTGTGCACCACTAAGTATCATCACTTTGGTTTATGTTTAGTGTTTTATTATCCCCAGTAGTTATTACACTGAAAATTTCTCTCATTATTTACCTCTTCATTAAGTATTTTATTTTGCATAATAGTATTCCTAGTAGATTTAGATAGATTTACAAGTTCACCAGGATATAATTTTTTTCCTCCCTACTTTATTGTAATATTTTTTAATAGCTAAGGAAAAAAAAAACATTTATACAAATGCATATTGTAATATAAGTTGTGGAAAAATATAAAAATTTGGTTTTAGGTGCTATAAAACTTGACCAAAACATGTATAAAATTTTGTTTAGAATGAAAAGATTTCTTTGTCTTAAGATTGATATTTGAGTATTGTTAAGCATTGGATGCTTAATTTCTGTAAATTGATAATTACATTAAATAGTTTAAATTTAACACACTTTATTTAGCTAATTAAATATCCTCCAATAATATGTTAAAATCCTATGAAAATTGCAACAGCATTATGAATGATATTCAGTGTTTCTCAAAACAATTAATTGTAATACCACTCTTGCTTGTTTTTTTTTCAATGCTAACAGATAGTTGAAACAATGCCACAAACACACGCCGTCACAGAGTTTCTACAAAAGTTGGATAGTTTCTATGAGATGGTTGAGGACAGTGAGAACCAGAATACACTGAAGATAATGGACAAACCCTGGGCAAATGGTTCCGTGCCAGTTAGTGATGGTAGGTTGTCACCAAACAGTACACCTGTCTGTATATCTTTTCATTTCTAGAGGTTTTTATTAACTTTTAAATTGTGGAGCGATATTTCTTTCCTCCACAGGGAAAAAAAAAAGAAATACTTTTTGTTTAATTTTTTAACCAGATTTAACTTTATTATTTAGTGATGGTTTGTTGATCATTATTTATTGATATAAGTCTTTATGCTCTTCAGATGAACAGATGAATCATTCCTACAATGTGACAGAGTTACTGAAACAGGATTTGAAAAGGTGGCAGGACAGTCCAATTATATTGAATGGTGACAAGAGCCCACCTAATGGTAAGGTTAATCTCGATGTTATGAGGTATAGCTCATCAGTAGTTTTTTTTTTAAATTTTATATTGTTTTTTCGCGTGTGTGCAGTGTGCTGTGCCAAAGGCATTGATGCTCAACATTATAACAATAAAGAAATTTAAACATTTTGCTTACATAACTGAAACAATATAGTGTTGAGAATTTAATCTCTTATTTTATTCTATGGCTCATGTCAAACAGTACACAACAAAGGATGATACCATTTATTAAATACAGTAATAAAGTAGGGCTTATTACAAATAATAATTTATTAAGTTAATTTTAAAATTACGAAATCAAATAGAATAAAACTTAGGCTATTCACTTACAACTTACAGTACAGCAATGAACTGGTACCGATACAATGTTGAAAAGGTGCACATACACACACACTCAGTAAATAATAATATACAAATCTACGATCAGTACAGTATTGTATTCGCAAACTCTGTCTCTCTCTTTGCCTTGCAGTCTCTCTCTAGCTAATTCAATCCCTATGTCGATCGGCTTATTTATAGTCTTTCTTATAGACTTTTTCAGAAAAGGGCTACACATTGTATCAGTGCCTAGACCCGTCTAATAAGTTCTAAAGAATTCTAATTCTATAGACTATGTTTACTTGTAGTCAAGGGAGACAATTTTTAATTAAACCACACCCATCGTCATTAAACTTGGGGTCACGCAGAGTTCATGCACAGGTTTCACGATGTAAACAAGACAAAATGATGATTATTTGTTGATTCCATAGCTTTCATCTCTTTTTTTAAATATATTATTTTTAATATAAAATTGTTGGGTTTACCTTAGTTAGAATAGTGGACAATATGCTGTTAAAAAATTGTCTATGAAGAAATTTTTTTTTAATATAATATAGGTTTCGGTGAGAGACAAAGTTTTACTTATGATCAACCTGTGCTCACCAATGGTGACAGTCCAAGTGAAACAGATAATGATGATGATGATTATGCCAGGGAAGAGAAATATGGCCAAGAAAACGGTCGTGGCAGTCCTGAGACAAATGGTGATTGGAAAGGAATAGAACATGTTGTTGTGACCAAGGTTCAGTCAGGATCTGCCAGTGATAGTGAGACTGAAAATGAAGAGTTCTGTGATACTTCAGATGAGCCTATTGAGGTATGTTTGACACAAAAGCTTTATGCTTTCTTTCTAAAATTAATTGGATCAAGTTTTTGGCTTAATAGTTTAAGTTATTTAAGTTTTGCTTGTAATTAAGCTTATTGTGTCACTATGCATTAAAAACTTCCTTTAAAAATAATAACATTGTTTATTAATATATATTTCGAATGGATTAACTTACATATTTAATCTTTGCTTATTAATGTTTATTTTGTTTTTTGAAAATTTTAGCTATTACCGGTAGTTGGATAATTATAATTAGACTCTCAATGGCAATAACTAGATCATATTATATTTTCCTTTGCATTACATTCAATGTCCACTGTACTCTTATGAAGTATGTGTAAAATTATTGTTTTGTGTTATTGCTGCACTGTCCTAAGACTTGGACCTAATCTCCATAATTTCCCTACAGCCTGCTGTGACCAGCTTTTTGCAGACATTCTCTACTCATCTTTCATCCGTCGCTGCAGCTTCATCAACTCCTATTCCCAGGACAAAGCTGGTTCGCTTTGATCCCATGATTGAGGACAGCAACACCAACTTTGATGGCAGCGACTCAAACAGCCTTTATGTCAATACCTCCCTCGTGTCGGCTAATGTTCTGGACTTGAGCTCACGCACAGAAAACGGACAGGAATCTGTACTGGATTCTACACACATTCATTCGGGTGATGACTTATTTGATATATCTGTGTGCCGTGGTGGGGAAGAGGAAGAAAGGAAAAGAAAAGGTGAAGGTCAGGACTCCAGGCTTTGGTCAACAGCAGGAAATAGAGGCAGCCAAAGTGGCAGTGGTGAGTTTTAGGCTGCTCAAAAGAGTGTTTGTTTTTAACTGTTTATCAACTTTCATACATATATAAATTATATTAAAGAGTTCTAACCTATTTAAAAGACTTAAATTTGATTCTTATAATGAAAAAAAAAATCACTTTAGCCAATTGTTCTTGTATTAATATAAAAAAAATTATTTCTACCCATTTGTATTTGAGAAAATCTATCAATATTTTATTTTAATTAATTAATTTTTTTATTTAACCCACCTTCCCGGGTGGCATCTTATTACGTGACTGTCACTGTTTTTTATTTTCTTAACCAATAATGATATATCTTATCAAATGGTATGCGTTGGACTTTTATTGTTGATTCATATTCTAGAAACATTAAAAAAAATTGAAAGTATAGTTTATCTGAAAATCAGATTTACATCCCTATGTCCAGAAAATAGAGATTAAAAAATAAGTCGGGAAATCTATTAAAATAAGTCAACATTAATCTTATAATTCTCTAATCACCATTTGACATTTTGCATTCCTCCTAGCACTATTTTACATTTTGCATTACTCTAAGTGCTATTTACAATTTTATATTGCCAAGCTGATGGACCAGAGGGTAGCGGTGGTTCTGGCGGTTGCGGACGTCGTGATTTATTCCCAAACCCTGGCGGGGGTGGAGGCAACAGAGGCACTGATGTAAGTGGAAAGTCGTCTCCTGCAGATTTAAATGAGCAAATTGTTGTGACCTTGCTGAGACTTCAACAGGACCTGAGCCGCGTTCTGATGAGGCTGGACAGTGTAGAAGAATTTATTAAGTCAGAAAAAAAAGTGAGTGAATTTATCAGAAGCCTGATATGGAGCACAGAAAAAAATGTGTATGCCCCCAAAATTTTTCTTTTACTTTTGACATGGCTCTGAATTAAACTGCTGTTACAATTGAAACTCAAACATCTTGAGGTGTGAGAGAATGCAATCAGAAGTTAATGTTAAGATCCATTAGGCTGTAAGGCTCAAACAATATATTGGACAAACATCTTTAAATAATAAATAATGTAAAATTTGTTTTTTGTTCAGCATTGTGAATGTCATAGTTTTCTCATTTTTAAGTCATTCATGCCCTAATTAATTAAAATTTGTATTTTCAGATTCGAGATAAAAGATTAAAAACTTCGAAGGTAAATTTTCATCTAATTTTTTTAAAAATTCATGTTTAAAAATTAACCAATTAATTAAGTTAGCCATTTTCAATTTATTTTAAGAACACTGTTGTTGAAAGATAATTATTTATTCAGTGATGTAAGTAAATTTAAACTTTAGGTAATGGCTGGAAAAGTATAATTTTAAGAAAAACATAAATCTAATTCATACCTCTAGATTTATGAAGAAGAATACATTTATCATTTTTCATGTTATGTTGAAACATTTCCACCAACCTTGACAATATACATGCTATTACTACTATCATACATTTTATTTGAAGCAATAAAGCCATCTCATGCCTTTTTTTAAAACTAGGGCTGGTGGCCTCTTCCCGACCTGTCTGTAGGATCCACAATCATTATTTTAGCCTGGCCATTTGTGGTCCACCTTATTCTTAAATACATCCACCAGAGGTCAGTAAGAATTTTTCATGTTTGAGGAAAACCAAAATAAATAAATAAATAAATTTAAATAAAAAAAAAAAATATATATATATATATATATTTATATATATATATATATATATATGTATGTATGTTTGTGTGCACTGAGGGAAGGGGAGACTGTGGTCTTAGGAGATTTAGCCTACTTGTCCCAATGACAGTGGGGAAGTATCTCAGTAGTTGCACAGCCACAAAAATTGTTAAAGGTACTGCTGCGAGTTTTCAGAATGCATATAGATATATCATACTTCTCTCTTTTTTACTTCTGAGTATGTCTTTTTTATGTGTGAAATCCCTTTCATTTTTTAGAAATATGTAATCCACCGTTTTTAGCTTATTGAATCTGCTACTGCTAATAATGAGTTATGGAATCTGCTGCTAATAATGAGTTATGGAATCTTCTGCTAATAATGAGTTACTGAATCTGGCTCTTCTTAAATTATATTTTAATCACGATTTAGGAAATGTGTTTTGTATAAACATCAGGCTATGTCTCAAAAAGTTAGATAATGAATATTTGTATCTCTGCTTTAATTCTTTGTGGGTTTTTTTTTCTACTCTCAGACGATCATCAAACAGAAGATTGTGATATTTCTATTTAAAACATGAGTTATAAAAGTATATACAAGGAATATATGACTAAAGGAAGATGACAGACCTGTCAAAATGTTAGGGTCAGTGAAGAGTGCATACAAGAAACATGAAGGTACATTTTAAATCTTGACTAAATGTTTACCTGCTACAGCTGTGCTCACAGATAATACAACAAATGAGCAGGTGCATTCTCTTTTAGTTTGCTTACAACTTGCATTTTTCTTTTTTTACTTTCACTTAAAGATTTTTTCAACTTTTCATTGGGGTTGGGAGGGGGGTTGTTGTTTTAAAAAATAGAATATATGTTCAATTTGTTTTTATTATTGCATGATTTAAAACAATTTTTTTTTATAAGGAAATTTTACTCTGCAGTTCACAGTTGTTTTGATTTCTAATCAGAGTTTCCACAAACTAAAAAGATTGTTGTTATTGCCCAGGCTGAAAATGAAACAATGTCTGATAATCCATGAAATTCACATAGTACCGTACTCAACTTGTGTTTGACAAAATTGTTTAACACCTTTCTAGCTTGGTACAAAATTTCTATTTGAATTTTTTTTTTAAACAGAATTCGAAGATTGTGTTGTAAGTTTAACTTGGTTATAAAACCAGACATGTTTAAAACAATGTAATAGTACTGAAAGAAAAGTGGGGACTCAAGTTTGATCCAAGTTAACATATGTTGAAATTTAATCCACTTACTATTTTTCTAAATAAAGTGAAAAAAATACAAAATAGTACACAAATGACATTTGGAAATTCTCTATCTAATTTTATATCAGTGCCATGGTGATTTTATTTTGAAGGTCTTTATTTTGAAAGTTTCCATAGGTTGGACAGATTTTAATGCTTCTATTTTTAGAAATCTTACCGAGAAATGTTTGTTCAACAATTCTAAAACTGTCTTTTGATAATATACTTATTAAATCCCAGCTTACATGTTTCGTGTTTTTTTAATCTATTATTTATTTAGTTTTTTGTCTTCTTTGAAACTTTACTAAAGAATGAAAAATATATATATTTTTTTTTTAATTTTGTCAGAAATTTCTACTCATTCTTATTATATTTCTAAAGTTTACAAATCAATTCAGATTTAGTTATATATAAGTGTTACATCTGTATGTCAGAGCATTCTTGTAGATCTTTATCAGCCACTCTAAAGACTATGTCACATCTCCAGTTTATGTAATTTTTTTTTACCATCATTTCTTTTATTAAATCACACCTCAGTGTGAGTTTTGAGGGTGGGAGGGGCTGTTGTTGATATTTTTTTTTAAAAGAAAGTTGTCTTAATCATACCAAATGCTTTCCTAATGTAAAAATAAAAGTATTAAAATTAAATTGGTGTTTTTAAAAGATTTTAAAATAAAATGATCAAAGGTCCTGGGAATGAAAATTTCTGGATCTGATGATATTTAGATCAAAGTCTTTATATTTTTAATCACGACCTAAGTCGGGGTATATAAATATTTATAAATCAGAATGGGTTATTGAAACCCATTTTTATTTATTGAGCTTGAGTTGTTGGTTTCAGACATTTCAAGACTTGTCTGAAGAATAAAATAATTATGTTTTGTTCACGGAAAACATTATCACTTTGTAAATGTCATTTTGTTGATCTTTTTTTAAATTGTGTGCAATACAGATATAAAATGGCTGGTTTTAATCACATGGAGATTGTGACAAATTTATGCTTTGATTCAGTCCAAATTTTGTAAATAAAATACAACATTCCTCTTCAATGAAAGTATCAAATGATTTCTACTGTAAATATGGTGTGCCTTGAATGTTAACAAATTGTGTAAAATTAAAATTAATTAAAATCATGACATTTACTGTGTTCTTGTTCTTAATGTAGTTTAACTGAAATTCAAAATATCTACATTTAAAGCAATGACAATCGACTCTCAAAATTTTCATTAAAATTTGTTTAATACATTTCAATGTGGAGACTGTTAAGAACCAATTCAAACTATTTTGATTGCTTGTAGGAGTTTTTAAGGCAGTATACAAAAATTACAGGCTTTAATATGATCCCCATAAGAATTCATAGAACAATCCCTCTGCCTCAAAAGCAACAAGGAGTTTCTAGTCCTGAAAGTTGCACAATACGAAGCATGTCTCTGTTTTTATTTTTTCTAAGGTGTCAGAGGTACCCCTTCTAACATAAATTTTATTTTGGACTGCTGTTTTGACTTTGTGTCATGCTAGAAATCCAAAGTTTGTATCCCACATTGTGTCGTTAGCCCTCTAACAAAGCTCAAGGAAATTGCTGTGGAACAAACTTTGCAGCATCTGATATTTTATGGGATTTTGCTAATAATTTTTTTTTGGAGGCTTGGACCTTAATTGTCAGAACTGTATTGTTTAAACAGTAATCACTGCAAACACAGTGATGTGTAGCTTGTGCTTAGCTAGGTATCTAGGCAATGATATCCTTTAAAGTTAGGTTTTGTCATTATGCAAAACTGATATGTTTACATGTTAGAAGATGGGCATTTATTAATTTTACACCCTCATAATAAAATGAAATATAGATTGAAATGCTATGCACAGAAAAGAAATGTGAGAAAACATGGATAATCTAAATTAACAAAAACTCATGTAAAACCAGAATTGATGCCAAAGTAAAGCATATTGCCTGGGAACCTGTGTAAATTAGTCTGTACATTTTCAATGATTATTGAAACTCCTAAATTGATAACTCAGTCATAATATGTCAGAAAGTGGCTCTCAACATAGACTTATATGGAATATACAACAGATTACTTCTTTTTTTAAAGAAAAAGAAATAATTTTCTGTACAATATTTTTGGATGTAAAATAACAATATAAATATATTCAATTTGTCTCTTATTTACATAACATGAATTAGAACCCTCATCAATTAGAACACTCACTCTCGGAGAGACATAAGAAGAGACGATGTAAAACGATGAACAATATATTGATTTATGCCAATCTCAACATAGTTTGAGTAAACTATAAAGAAGTGTGCTAAATACTTAATCAGATAAATTTTATGTGTATGGCAATTATTTACAGAAACAATATATCTCAAATAAGATGTTTTTGGGTTTGGAATTCAACTTTTAAATGAACTATTTAAACAAATGTATTGTTAAAACTTGTGTCAAATTGGTTCCAGAACAAATTGAATCACTAAAGAAAATTATTTTAGCACTTACGGCAAGAGTCTTATTAATGCACAAAATAATGCAGAGATTGAAATGTTGAGCAGAATAGAAATTGTGATTCTGCTACAGCAGGCCTGCACAACTCAAAATGTAAGGCGGGCCATAATACTTAATGAAAAACTTATGCGGGCCAAAAGAAAATAGGACAGGGGAAAGTTATTAAGAAACTAAAAATAAAAAATTATATTTCGTTACTTCGTCAGCAGGTAAATGGGTGCTGGTGGCGGGCCGTATGTTGTGCAGGTGTGTGCTACAGGACATTTAAAATGGAGTTGTCAGAAAATAATTTTTATTACAGCAATAAATGATCTTTGAAAGAAGCAATCATAACCCTGCTTTGTGGTTAGTCTGACTTCTAACACTAATTTTTATTCAACTTAGAGAAGAAACATATCACTTAAAAGATATATTTTTAATAATATTATTGCAGAAAAGTGTATCTTATAAACATTTTAGTTTACTATGGCATTCTGTATAAATTCACAATTTAAAAAAAAATTAATATCACATTAAGACGTGAAACATAGGGAAGAGGTTTAGAATTGTGAACTCCAAATGCTTGACTTTGTTTATTTAACATGTCACAACAACCCTACCTGGCTGAGAAAACATACATGCTAATAATGCTATTAATATCTCTAATCTGGTTGAGCACAAGTGGACATTTTATGATTAGTCTGTCAATGACAGTAATGATTCTAAAAATAAATCAGTATTTTATTTAATGTAACACATGAAGGTATGATTGATAAATTATGTTCTCCATCAAATAAACTTTATTTATTTATTTATATTAGGGACCATCCATATCTTGCTTAAGCAATTAAATTTTATTCCCCCCCCACCCTTTTAACCTTTTAATAACGATTAAAAGCTTTTTGGTATATGTTTAGTACTTGTTGAGAACTAAGCAAAAGCATTTTTTGTTGAAAATTTGAATAGTTTTTCTAAGAAAAACTACATTATTTTTCTATGAATGTATCCATCTTTTTTTTAAATTGCTTTTTTATTACACACCCAAAAGTCAGATGAACTTATAACCTTTGTTAAAACAACTTTTTATTTGAAAATAAACAAAATGTGCAGAACTATTATAGGAATGTTGTTTTTTTAAAATGTAAAATGCATACTTTTTTTAAATAAATATATTTAAAAAATGGTAATCATTTTTTGTTATTTAGCCAAAATCAATTTACACATGTCACACTAACTTACTCCCCAAGTAAATTAACATAACCAGGCTATCAGTGTACACTACAGAAAAATGCAAAGCTTATTTCTTAACAATGTCATAACCGCAATTTATAAGTATTGCTCAATCCTCACATATCTTGAACAATTCACCGGACACTACAGTAGTTGAAATGGTAGACTAATGAAATAGTTGACCTCCTTGTACCGATTGTATCTCAGATATAAACATGTAATATCTGAGACAGATGAATGGTTTTTAAATTGCTTTAACCAAATATCAATAAAGTAATGTTGATAAATTATTTGGGACAAGAAATCAACAATAAATATGATTTATATGATATGATTTTCCTACTTGTCTCACATTCACAGTGATATTATTATATGAATTATCTATACAAATCATCCGACTAATGAACATAATATACAAATTATACTAAATAGTAATAATAAGATGGCTCTGGATGGTTGCAACTGAACGGCAGGTGATAAAAAGACATCAATAGTTTGAGCAAAACTGGAATCTACCAGGATCTGTCCCTCTGAAAATAATGCAAATAATATATTTTAAAATGATTGGCTTTGTTACATTAATATTATACCTTTAGTTATCAAATCCAACACTTAATATAGTCCTAATAATAAAGAGTAAAAATATATATTTATCATAGATGTTTATTTGCATTGATCTTTTTCAAGTAGGCCTATTTTTTAAAATATGAAAATATTAATTATAGGAGCTTAAAATATTTTAATGGTTAAAAAATAAAAAAAATTTAGCTTCATTTTCTCAAAATCATTTCTTAAAAAATAAATTTTAGTGTTTTAAAAAAATGTGGGAAAGATGTGGTCACATTTTGAACAGGATTCAGTGACACTAACCTACTTATGAGATATCCTGAAATAACTTACCCAATGTGAAATACATTGTAGGGGACTTTTTGCCTGTACCACCTTTGCCATTTCCTGCCACCCTCAAAGCATAAATTCTGTCATTTGTAATATTCCGTACCGTCCACTCAAATGTTCGAATTGGAACTTCTACTATCCTTGCTGAACGAGGATTTTCAGTTGCAGTCCATATATATATCTGTAAACAGGAAGCAATAAAGACAAACTTATATTTTTATGAAAGAAGTCCACTAATTATAAAATCAATGTTAGCTTCAAAATTCATTTGTTAATATTTTTTTTCAAATTAAAGTATCATTAAAACTTGCTATTTTCTATAGGCATTTTTTATCCATTTAGTCAACAATGAAAAAATTATTTTCACCAACTAGTTTTTATTTGTACTAAAACATGACCCAACTGAGCTATGATGAGACAAATTGATATTTAAATATTATTCCTGGGCTGATATGGGTCACATTGACTCTGGTTTTGGTCACTACACTTGTCCACATGATTGGGCTGTGGTCATTACACATGTCCACATGATTGGGCTATGGTCACTACACTTGTCCACATGATTGGGCTACTGACACTACACTTGTCCACATGATTGGGCTACTGACACTACAATTGTCCACATGATTGGGCTACTGACACTACACTTGTCCACATGATTGAGCTACTGACACTACACTTGTCCACATGATTGGGCTACTGACACTACACTTGTCCACAATTAACAATTGTGCACACTATATTTGACTAGCGGGAAGTATTGCAGGACAGTAAAGACACACTTCCCAAAACACTTACATAATAGCCTGTAATATCTTCTTCCAAATATGTAATGGTCAGTCCTCTGTACCAAACATGGACACTGTTGGCACCTGCTGAGGACACTCTCACCTCTTCAGGATAATTTAATGGTGCTGTAGAATTGAATCAAAGTAGTGTCAATGACTTTCTTTAAATTTAATATATTATCAACACCTTTATAGTTATTAAAAAAAAAAAAAGAATAAAAAATTTGATTCACATTAATAAAGATTAACTTTACAAAAACGTATAAAGTCATAATATGGGTTCACAAAAATGGTCAAGATGTTGCGAAAACTAAGAGCATTATATTTCATATACTTGGTACATTCTCTAGCTTTCTGATTTCTGACTTATATATCCTTAAGCATATATCTATAAATATGGTTTATTTTGTCACCATGTGTTAATTAAGTCTCTTAATAGAATTTAATGTCATTCTAGGATTGGCCTAGTGAGCTACTCGTCGAAGTGTAGGACTACATAGCGACTCCATCATCTCATGAAGACGGAAGGATGCCATATAAAATAGAATTTCCTGAATAAACATTACTGTTGTAAAATATCATATCCTTTATTGTACATGGTAAATCATTTGAGTGCTTTTAATAGTCCAGCCTTCCAATTCAAAGCTAAGCCTCATGCCCATCATTGTGGACTAGTTCTCAGTTCACATGTGTTAAACCATACATTGTTTTGCAACAATATTTATTGAAATTGTCTGACTT